TGAGGTCGCGAATTGGCTATTGATATAAACCAGAAGATTAAAATGATTTTTTTTTTGGTGTGAATTGAAATTAAAAAAAACCCAACTGTACGACTAAACAGCACACCACTATGAGAGATAACTTGACTACTGGTATATACAAAAACCCAACTGTACGACTAAACAGCACACCACTATGAGAGATAACTTGACTACCGGTATATACAAAAACCCAAACCCGGCAACAACCACAGACTAACAGGCTGGAAAAGATGAAAAGGAAGACCAAGGAGATGATCAGATAAGGAAAGACATATTGGACATCCACTCATGTCTCTACGACCTCCTAGGATGCACATTAGGCCCTATATTATTCAAGTATAGTTTTGCATTTTTTGGCCCATAGCGTAGGCTACGTGGTCTGTCGATCAAGCTTCTTGTGGACAGGGCTTTAAAAAAATATTTTACTTAAGCGGATTAGTATCCTATTTTCAAATTAGTTTTGTGTGCAAATAAATCACTGATCTATAAGTCCGTATAAGTTGGCATTGACAATACAAAAATAGCTTCCATTAGCAGTCCTTTGTTGAATTCTCCCCCCCCCCCCCCTCTCTCTCTCTCTCTCTCTCTCTCTCTCTCTCTCTCTCTCTCTCTCTCTCTCCCCCCTCTCTCTCTCTCTCTCTCTCTCTCTCTCTCTCTCTCCCCCCTCTCCCCCCCCCCCTCTCTCTCTCCGTCTCTCGCCATTTCTTTAATCTCTGTCTTTCTTACTATCCTTCTTAAGCTCTTTTCGTCTTGCTCCCGCTCCCTCACCCAATAGCCCCGCTCTTTCGTCTTGTAATTCCTCTCCACCTCCCATTTTACCTTCCCATGATTGCGACCCTAGGAACAATATTGCTGGCCTCTTTTTTTGTTTGAATGGTGTTTGATAAACATTGATTCTTGCCAGAAGTTGATCGTACGTACTCCATCGTGGCCCATTGTTTCAAAAGTAGAATGGTTGTCAGGAGTGTGAATGGGTGAGTAGTAATCAATACTATACAATACGATTATGCCATCCAACTACGTGTCTGTTTTTACCGTACCGCTGAAAGATTGGTTTGAATGTGAAGTGATTAAGAGGGTAGTTAGCCTTTGATTGAGCGAGTCAACATCCCACCAATGGACGACTAGACTAGTGTGACGTAGGGCCTACTCATTATCAACTGATTCATTACCATATTATTGCTTCGATTATATTGTTCTCTTAACCCTATCCGTACGTCCTGGGGTCATTTTATACCCCTGAGGTTGTATTCTTCACATATTAGAATACTTCTACTGCAAAGATCTCTTTGAAACTTTCAGTTTTTCTAAAAAAATCATTTTGACAAACTGCTATACAAAGAGTACGGATCGGATTAACGAGTAAATTTCCTCTTTGAAAGTGGTGGCACAGAGTTCCCCACGTCTTATGGATAAGATAGTAAAACTCCACGTACAGATAGGGTTAAAAAGGAAATAATGATGGGGGTTCATGGCAATTTAAAAAATCCTTTTTAATGAATTAATGTTGTAAAGTACATCGCCATATTCGGAACTCAGATAAATGTAAGGCAAAATATCTTTTCCTATTTCAAAACAAGTACTTTGCTACCCCCTCCATCCATCCACATTTTTTTCATGAAAGGTTGGAAAATCTAAAAGAAAAACAAGAAAAGTCAGAAAGGGCAGTGCTTGTGTTCCATTTGCTCATTGAGGGAGATGCACGGTGGGTGCCCCAGGTTCAAATCCTTTCCAGACTCTGTTCCAGTCACATTCGAAGGCATTGTTTCAAAAGAGTCTCTTGTTCTATAATACAACCTTCTGAGAAAAGTATTGCAGCTTCTGCTGACAAATTGCCCCCTCCCCCTCCTCCTCTCATCACCCCTTCCTCTTCTTACACCACTATCACCACCACCTCCTCCTCCCCTCCTCCTCCTCCTCCTCCTCCTCC